TATATCCCTTCCACTTAAATAACTTTCTCTAAAGATGAAAACCGCATTAAAATCCGTTGATTAATTATAAGAACTAATAAATAAACATAAAACATAAAAAAGCGATTTTATTTTATACTATGTAAAGATTACATATGAAGCGATGACTACATATTTCCAGGAGAAAGTACTGAAACGGTCAACACAAAAAAGGTTTATTGCTGAACGTAATTACCAAATATATAAACGAATTTCCTTCTTCACTAAAGTCTGTTGAAAACACAAAGTTAATACATACAGGGCCTCTTCACATCTACAATACTACCCACCCTTAAAACAGGTAAAAAATGTGCTAATAAAGCAATAAAAATAGTACACATAAAACAAAGCAAAATAAATAAATCACTGGCCAACACATTAAAGCGGTGGACAGAATTAAATCACGACTAACGCCATCTAACGGCTTACCTCATGAATCTCATGAATACAACATGTACTACTGACGTGAAGATGGCGCGCTTACAAATTTATCGCCACTTTTATTATTATGACCGCTTTTCGCGGGCTTTTAGCTAAATTACACTCATTACTTACATACTACGTTAACATATTGCTGGATATCTACAATATAGCGAATAAAGCGCTGAATGAAAAACTTAAAATGAAAATAATAAAAAAGTAATGGCCGTGATATTAAAAATGAGAATGCTACCATAATAATTATTCTCAGGATAAGAGATATTATAATATTTTATAAAAATTAATTATAATTCAGTAGTCTTCTTGCAATAGGGGAAATTTGCATATATTATTAATATTAAAACGGTTGTTAGTTAAAAATTAATTCCACAAAATACATAAAGAAGGACCTACTTCTTTTATTCCTTATTGATACTTAAACAAAAAACTAGTTCTTGGTTAAAAGTGGTTAAAAACATTTCAGCGGCTAAGCCTCGCTGCAGCAGCTAAAACTCCAAACCACTCAAGATAAACACAAACAAATCGCACAAATAACATTTGCCGTCGTAATTTGGCTAATGTATCATAAACATTTTTGCTTCATCTGTTCACTAGGCTGAGTGGGCAGTTACCGTTGCGTGGCGGCGCGGAACAATATATATCTTTTGTTTATGCCATTCATTTGTATGCGAGAGGCGTAAATTTTGGGAGACACATACTTGCGACTAAGTTTAACACATAAGTTAAATTGGTTTGTACTCCTAACGAGAAGGGATGATTAAATGTCTTTTAGCGCACATCGCTTTTGTCGCATTTTGCAGTATTATTGCTTCTTATAAATTATAATCATATGATGAAATGATTAGATTTCACCTGTGATTGTGATTTGGTCATAGACAAAGATAAATGCCATCAAAATCAATGTGATTTTATTCCATCCCTAGTACACACTACTTTTGCCAACAACCAGTCACTTATGGTATAGAAGTCAATGAAAGTTGAGAGTCCAAGACGAAGGGAAATGGTGGTAAGGTAGGAAAGTTATTTTTTATGGTCTAGGGGGCTCAACGATCCGGATAACCTGATAGTAAGTGACTACCGTCGCCAGAGACACCTGCAACTGTGTTTACTGTTATTTTTACACACACATCAAGACACACATATCTAATAAAATTACTAGATATGCAAAATTTTGAGAATGGAGCCACGATGGCTCGTTGGTCGTGTCGGTTGAGGGCTAAACGTGCTGGCTTTGGGCACGGCTAGTGGGCAGGGTGGCAACACGAAACCCTTTCTCGGCTGACGCAGGTTCTTTCCGGGCACGGGTGCAACGGAGAGTACCTGCACTCGGTCGCTAGAAGGGACCGAGGGACTCGGCTCAGCACACGCTGGCAATTTGCCCGGCCTAGGCATCGCAGCGTCGGGTCCTCATTGCAGTCATTGGAGGAGATCTCTCGCTACCGTCCATCATACGCTTTATGGCCGATAGTGACAGATGTTTTACCGCGGCCGCATCCTTCTGCGAAAACGTCATCTCGCAGAAGCAGACGGCGGACCCCGGGACCTCCGCTCGGACCCAATTCGCCTCCGGCAAACCAGGAGGCGTAAGCACGCTTACCAGCGCCTCATGCCGACCTGAGTGATGCTGCGGGTGGACGGGACGGGTTTTCTCCTCCATCCGCTATAGTGGCCACCCGCTTGAAGGCGACGTGTGTCGAACGACACCTAAATAGAGAGTTTACCCAAAGGTGGTTGCGGGCAGGGCGCTGGGAGGGTTCCGGATGACTTAATCTGCTGTTCTCGGACCCCTGCTATCGCAGGCGCGAAATGGCTCACCGTGTGGTTTTAGTCGGTTGGATGAAGGCGAAGGCCCGAGGAGGTGTCCACACGTTAAAAAAAATATGGTAATTTGCAGACGCCAGGAAGGGGTCCGAATGTCTTTGTAGAAGAACGGGTGTCATATCCCTCTTACGCAAAGGAAGGATCCTCCGACCAGGTGAGGTGCTTATGCCTGGCGGGCCGTGGCCCAACGGTTGAGCGCTAATGCTCATCGGCGAGAGAATTGTTAATGTCGCGATACAGGATTAGCACTTACTTCGTAGTTCGTTGTGTCTTTCCGCTTGTGTCTTTACGGTTCCGACACACCACCCCGCCTTAAACCCTAGTTAGGTAACGGCCCGAGGCGTTATCCAAGTGAAAAAAAAATTTAATATGCAGACAAAATAACTATAAATAAAATTTTGCCGGTTTTTTATGTTCGCCGTGGTCAGAAGTACTTTTGTAGTTGACCAGAAATCTGACATAATAGTGTTGTTAGTGTTCTAACCCCCAACTTATTTACTGCAACCTCAAAATCTCGGCCACTGCGCGGGAATACCTTAAATATAATTATTTCCTAATATCGTAATCTCGACGCCAGTCTCCGTAAAATTGACGTCAAATGGCGCCGTAAACGTTATTTTATTCCCTTTCTATCTTATATCAATCATTATTAAATCTGTCATAAACTTTCCCGCTATAAAATGTCAGTTATGTATTGTATCAGCTATCATTTTGGTTTTATATCTCTGTCTATGTTTATCTGAGTGTCATTTAATGGTATCGTTATTGCTAAGTTATAGTTTGATATGTTCATGTGTAATAAAACTATAACTCTCTAATGTACACATTACTACAATTGATAACGCAAAGGGTTTCCAATTTCGGTGTTTACAAAACTTGTGTTAAATTAAAACATTCAGAACTATCTCATCAACAGCCTTAACAGTCCACTGCTGGACATAGGCCTCTCCTTAGATAACAGGTTTTGGCCTACTACACCACACGGGTTGGTTTAGGGATTGTTTCAAGTTTTCCTATTATTTGCAGTGCTGTTTTTCTGCGTAGTTTGCTCCCTTAGTCGTCTCTTACGACACCCACGGGATTAATAGGGGTGGTGACACTCCGTATTCTTAATCCGTTACCACACGGACGTGCAGAACTATCTAAATAATACTAAAAACGACACCTACAAGGTGCACGCAATGAACCTAGAAATGCAGAATGAATGGTTAACTCTAGGAGAATTTTGTATCCTACTAGCTTTGAAATGGCGCACACTTTTCTACGATTGGTCACCTGCCCTGCTAAAATTTTACCTCAGCGCCTTTCAATTGACTCTACCCGATCAAAGCAACCTAGGTGGGGAAAAGCTACAGAAAAGGCTTGTACGATGTGCAGTGCGGAAATAGGTACAGCCAGGCACTCACTAACAGGTTGTAAGGCGCTATTAGACCGGGGTCATTATTCACGTCTCCATGATAGGGTATTACAAATCATACGCGAAGCTATAAGTTTATCACTGGCGAGAGCAATAAAAGGGTGACAACAAACATAAGAACTAACATCGCGTTTATAAAGGAATGCTCAACAAAAAAGACTTCACAAAAGCCGTACTCAATTATAAATACCGCCAGTGACTGGACATTATTTATTAGTGGACACGTATGAAAATCATTACTGAATACCGGAGGATGTCTGTGCCTCGGCGTCCAGACCGGCCATATCTCTTTATGCAATTTTAATTAAGCGTGTAGTACTGGGGGAAACGAACATAACTAAAGACGACGCTTTAAAAGAAACAAGTACTTTGACTTAACCAAAGAAAAAACTCAAAATGGTTATGTCGTTGCGTTGTAAGTGGGTGCGCGGGGTATACCAGCTATATCCCTCTATAACCTGCTTAAAGACCTTGGATTGCCAAGAGCTTCAGTAATCTCTTTTCTTGAATGAATATCTAAAGCGGCATTGCTGGGCTCATATCAAACATAGTTAGGTAGAGGGGTAACACAGCAGACAGTTTAGGTAAGCGTTGACGCGTCGCAAGGAGTACTCCCTAAACCTATACCTTGCTCGCAAGTCCTAGGCGCTGTCGAAGTCGCATGTGTTGCCTCCATCTCCATCCATCCATGGACCCGGCACCCGCACGGTGAATCCATATAACGCTAAGAAATAGGTCTGCATCAAAAATCAACCATTTGATGATTTCTATTTACATATGAGCTCTATCTTGCGAAGAGAAACTGATAAATTAAAAAGAAATTTATAAATTAAGCATAATAATTTGAAAATAATTAAGAGATATTTAGAACGTAATTATTACGTATTAGTTATTAGCAAAAAAAAATACAATCAATAGTTGGTGCTAATTGAAAAGCGTAACATACGCCATCTGTTCAGGTTTCAAGTTATAAAATATAATGACAAACAGGAAAGATTTTGCCTGTTGTAGTATCTGTACAATAGATGTCGCCTTTGCGTAAAATCATATTATCCTACCAATTTTAAATGATCAGACATAATCAGTAAACATAACAAATTAGCAAAGTTTAAAAAGTATTTTCAATTTGACACATTTGTATCAGTCAGTTTTCACGTAGACGGCGTCGGGAGCATGAATGGCAACAAATGGTTGCTCTTTGTTTATTTTGTTTTGTAATTAAAAATGTAAATTGTAATTAAGTGTTCTAATTAGTGTTGTTCTATAAAGTCGTGATATTAGTGTAGGTGTATTTGTGTACAAAATGAAGGTTATTGAAGCTAAAATTGTAGTTTTAGGATCACAAGGTATGATTTTATCATTAATTTTGTACGTTAAAAACGTTGTAGTATTACAAATCTAAATTTAAATTAAGGCATTCGCATTATATAGTGTCCGAATGTGCACATTATTGAACGTTTCGTCATCTGTCTGGTTTTTCATTAGTACTGATCCAACATGCAACATTAACTGCCCAGTCGTTTTACCTACAAAGGTGTGTAATAATTTTGGTATTTTTTTTAGGTCGCAAATGTTATCTGTGTCAAAATATTATGTTTTGAATAAAGATATATACTGGACTTTACTAGAGATAATCATTAGATATTTCAATGACTAGCAGTGTATCGTCACGTCTTATGACTAACTAAATGAAATAAAGTTGGAACTTTATTGGTATAGTATTCTAAATTCCAAGTGAAAACACTTTTATAAAGTTCTTTACTCGTGAAAAGTGCAATATAAATACATGGTCCAGTGCAGATTAGTAAGTAATTTTATCATTTTATCTAGAGAGCATCTCATCAATCAAGGCACTGATCACCAGTACGTTCGGCCAAGCATATCAAACCTGTTTCTAAACTATTGTGTAATAAATTTTATTAAGTCATAGCTTCATAGTTTCCAACACTACTAACGACTATAAAAACTTTCTCTTTAACAGTTATACAACTATTGTTAGGGAAATGTAGAAACAATACTCTGAAATTGCCTTAAAAATGTTTCGCACAGGTTACACTCCAGACTTAATTACAGGATAGCTCATAGAGATATAATAATAATAACAACTTCACACATCTCGCATACGGCAGTCTGATCCCAAACTAGGCAGAGCCTGTACTGTGGTAACCATACTGTTAATAAAAATACTTATATATTTTTAAATACATACATATTATAGATAAATGATACCCAGACACAAAACAAATGACAGTGCTCATCACACAATATTTGTCCTGGGTGGTAATCGAACCCACGACCTCCGGCTTAGCAGTCAGGGTCACTAACCACGAGACCAACAGGCACAGCTGCCTGTAGAGAGAGATGGATGCGAGATAGTTCCCTCTGTCTCTCTTTAGCTAAGCTGCAATTGGCCATCGTGAAGAGGGCATGTTTTTGATCATAGAACGGCAGGAGTTTAAAAATTTCTCCAGCTAACCACAGTGGAAAGTTAACACTCGAGTGGAAAGAGATAGAGAGAACTATCTATTATCCATCTCTCTCGTTGCCTATATTGCAAGATTGGAGCTCTTGTTTATTCACTATATGCTTATATCTCTATGGGATAACTACTCAGACCATACGTAACCTCTTTATTAAAACTAAAGAAATATTATTTTAAGCGCTGAATTTTTAAACATAAACATTTCTGGACCAATTAGGTACACTTTACAGCAAAAATATTTCTTTCATTAAATAAACGGATCGAATAAGAATAGGATTGACACCCATGGGTGTCGTATGAGCCGACTAAGGGAGGTATAGTAGGCCAAAACCTCCTTCCTAAGGAGAGACCTATGTCCAGCAGTGGACTTTTAAAGGCTGTTGATGATGATGATGAAATAAATGGTTTTCTTGTATTCATTCTAAACCTAATATTTTCATGAAATAATAATCAAATTACAGTTTCGTGTATTCATATTACTATTTATTCAAAAATAACATACAATATTACTTAATACAGTGGGTGAAATACTGTGTCAGTGAGTGTCATTTCCGTGTCATATCCGGGTCCGTGTGGTGACGAATTAAGAATACAGAGTGTCACCACCCCTATTCATCCCGTGGGTGTCGTAAGAGCCGACTAAGGGAAAAAACTATGCAGGACAACAGCACTGCAGAGAGAAGGAAAACTTGACACAAACCCTATACCAACCCGTCTGGCCAGTGTGGTATAGTAGGCCAAAACCTCCTTTCTAAGGAGAGGCTTATGTCCAGCAGTGGACTATTAAAGGCTGTTGATGATGAGTGTCATTTCTATGCTTGTAACCTCCTGTGGAGCAGGAATCATTCAGAATCAATAAACCAATTTAAAGGGTTTTCTATGTTGCTATTTGAGTTCCATCTGGATAAAGTAATAATATAATATTAAAATAGATTTTTAAACCAGAAATATCAAAATTTATTATTTAAGCTGAAAAGCTATCATTTGACTTGGAAAGTCATCTTCTTTAGAGGCAACAAGTTGAGTGATAGGGTTTTTTTACAAGAGTGTGCAAATCTAATACATCTGTCTGCATGAAGTAACGGAAGAGTCTGTGTGTTACTCCAGCAGAAGCAGACCTGTGACAAAGACATAACACATTACTCCTACCTCCAAGAAGATGATGATGGAGAGATGTGCTCATGACACAAAAACTCTTTAGGTGGAATTCTTTGGACCCTCATTTGTTGTTTACTGGAGATTTTATTGATTGCTGGGTTGATTACCCAACTTTATTATAAAATTAAGTTCTGTAAAAACAGGAAAAAACTACAGTCTACTTTTAATACATTAATAGTTAAGCAGTTTATAAAACCAGATTCACAAAAACAGTAAACCTACATCAAATTGGTACAAAGCCTCCTTATTAGGAAGAGAGGAAAAAATAGGTTTCACGTAATTATATTATTATTTTATCCTGTTAAATCTGATTTGATACTAAATAGTATATCATTAAAATAATTGACTGCCTCAGTGGTGTGGTTGTAGCGTATGCGACTGCTGTGCTAAGGTCTTGGCTTCGATGGCCTAGTCAGACCAATATTTGTATGATTTGCAAATATTTGTTTTGGAGTTTGGGTGTTTCCTATGTATAATATCTATGTACGAGGGCGGGTCAATAAGTCCGTGACTTTTTGAATTTCTGACCTCTTTACTGAAAAAGCAACACTACTCCTGTCAACAGGCATCTGTCAGTTGACTCCTTTCAAAATTTGAACTTGATGGGTGCCACGATTGCTCACAGTCGACCACAAACGCAATCGTGTAACAACTTCACAGGAAGGTTTGGCGTTGTTTAATCGTAATATGGAGGAGTTTTTGGAACAAACACAGTTTGTGGAACACACCAGAGACCAAACAACAGTTAAAACAGTGGGTTTCTAAGGGTGTATCGGCGCCAAAGTAGGCCAAGGTGGGTTTGTCAGCCAATAAAGTTATGGCGACTGCCTTTTGGGATGCACGCGGGATAATCCACATTGACTACCTTCATAAGGGAAGAACAATCAATGGGGAATATTATGAAAACTTATTGGACCGATTCAATGACGATTTGAAAAAAAACCGACCTCATTTGGCCAAGAAAAAAGTTCTTTTCCAGCAAGACAATGCAAGGGTGCACACATGTGCAGTTGCCATGGCAAAAATCCAAGAATTGGGCTATGAATTGCTCCCTCATCCGCCCTATTCTCCAGATTTGGCTCCGAGTGACTACTTCTTGTTTCCAAACCTGAAGAAATGGCTTGGTGGAAAAAGATTTGACTCCAATGATGAAGTCATCTCGCAAACAAAGGCCTATTTTGAGGACCTCGACAAATCATATTTTTTGGAAGGGATAAAAAAAATTGGAGAAGCGTTGAACAAAGTGTATAGAGCTCAAGGGAGACTACGTTGAAAAATAAAATGATTTATTTATCAAAAAATCTGTGTTTTATTCCAAAAGTCACGGACTTATTGACCCGCCCTCGTATTTACAATAAAATTGGAATTGTGTTTCGGATGTCCGAAATATTATAATTGTTTGCCTGAAATCTTCTCATTTATAAATCAAATTATTTATTTGCTTTAAATGGGGTAGTAAATAATAGGCAGGTAGGGTAGTAAATACCTACCTTAGGTATTACAAGTTTGACATAAATCGAACAGACCCATTAAGCCGTGAAAAAGCATGCAAATTTAACGAATTATTAAAATAACTTATGTAGGTGTATATTATTATTCCTTATCAGTTCAACCGTGAATCAGTTAAATTGGGATCCTGTTCCATTTGTCTTTTAATTCTCATTCTCAGTGGTACAAAAATAAGGATAGATAAGGGTTGATAAGGACCATTTTTCGCCCATCACACACTCGAAAAAAAAATAACCGATTTCAGAATAGTTTTAAACACCTTTGTATAGTTGAAGATATATACTTTTTTGTTTTCTGTAATTTACGTAATAAATAATATAGTAAGTCATAGAAATTATTTCTCAAAAAGAGAGTGTTTCGCCTTTTTTATGCGTTTTTGTCGTATTTTTTCTTCTTATAATTATATTTTTTAATGAAGCGTTCCATGAACCACATCGACTTTTCTTTAAACTGTTAGTACTCTTAATAAGCTTGTATCTGAGTACTATTTAATCTTGGTTTATCATGCGCTTCTACACAATATGGATAAATATAAGTCACACGACGGTATGCGAGTGCGACTTCGTCTGCGTCTCTCAATAGTAATAAATTTTCTCCGTTTTTGAAACATTCTTCATTGGTGCTCCGCTCCTATTGGTCTTAGCGTGATGATATATAGCCTATAGCCTTCCTCGATAAATGGGCTATCTCACTGAAAGAATTTTTCAAATCGGACCAGTAGTTCCTGAGATTAGCGCGTTCAAACAAACAAACAAACAAACAAACTCTTCAGCTTTATAATATTAGTATCGATTTTTATGCACATACTTTAAAAGTAATTTGCAGCCGACTACTTGGTGGTATCATGTACCAGAAGGAGCCTGTCTACGTTCCTTATGTTAATTGAGATCGCTGCACTGTGTAATATTGCAAATTGCTTTTGGTTGGATTACCTGGATGTCTGGGAATCAAACCCACAATCTCTGGTTTAGCATTCAGGATCGCTAACCATCAGGCTAAAAGGCCCGTTAACAATTTTTTTTAATAGTTTAATGTTAACAGGACATGTAAATTTATACCAAGAATACACCTGATTTTTTTATGTTATCATAAAAAATGATGACTAACAGATAAAAATAGCTTGTTCACCTAAAACTTTGATAGAAATTGAAACTTACGAATGTGAATCACCTTGAAATATAGGACGATTGCCCCTCA